TTCATCTATCTGCCTGTTCTGCTCCCCACTCTGTCTCTGGTGAATCCTCTCACTGCCCCTGCACCTCAGGCCTGTACCCCAGCTCTGTATGCATAAGTAAATAAATCTTTAAAAAAAATTATTCTTACTATTATATGGAGAATGGACTGTAGTGGACAAGAAATGGAAGTGAAAGTATCAGCTAAGAGGGTTCTCAATGAGTGCAGATAAGAGATGAGGATGGCCTGGCTATGTATATTGTCAGTGTACACACAGAAATGACAATTTAACATAAATTTATGGAAGCAGGGCTGGCAGTACTTGATGAATTTAAAAAAGGGTGGGTAAGGGAATGTGGGAGTGGGTAAATAAAAGAAGAATTGAAAGAAATTAAAAGACAACAAGATTTGTGACTTGCACAAATACATGGATAGAGTTGGCTTTTACTGTAAAAACACAAACAAGCAAAGAAAAACACGGTAGAGTTTGGATTTGCAAGGCAAATAACTTGCTGAACCAAGTCCTGAGAAATAAAGTCTCTCAACAGTGACATTCTGTTACTATTCTAAGTAAGTGCTTTTAGAACTACATGATTACATATTTACAGAATTCTAGTTATCGTCTTCAAAAAGCTCTAGTAAGTACACTCATGATAAAGACTCACCCCTCTAACTACTTTTTTAAGTTGACAAGACATTATAAATCTAGCCAAATTGATCTACAGAAATGTTTTTTAGAAGTTAGATACATTAAAATTGAAATTAGACAAATGACAGAGAAGGTATGCTAGAAAGAAATTCATAGGAAAAATAATTTTTGTACCCTACGTATAAATAGTTCAGAGAAAAAAGCCTAATGTAAAAAACCTAATTTTCTCCAAACTAAAATTAATCCATATTTAAAGTTATTTAAAATAAGGAATTACTCCATAATTCATTCTGATAAGTAGTTCATGTGATTTAGAAAGCCACTTTTTCAGCTAAATAGGATCTTTTAGTTAGCACTTTTTCTGCTCTGCCCTGTTTGATGGGGAAAAGAAAAGAAATGTGTATGGAGCTCATATTATATGTCAAGTAACTTAACAATTATAAAAAGAAACTTACGTAGAATGAGCTTGCGTTTCTTCTGTTCTGAGTGAAGAAAGCTACTCAGGTAGAAAACCACAGGTAGAAAGAGAATGAACAGGGAAACAGCAATAACAGGCACTGTGTCACTGCAGGGGACCGAACAGTTGAAAGTTCGACTCCAAAGTTTTCGAGTGATGTTCATCTGGAATAACAACAAAATAATACCGCAGTATTTTATAGTTAAGTTGTCTTCAAATAAGGAAAACTATTTTGCTAATAACTTAAGAGGCAAGCAAAATTCCGATGAAATATACAATCTTAAAGGAAGAATTCATTGATAGTTGAGGGTAATTTCTTCTTCCAGGGAAATCAACGAGTTCACAATTAGTTGTACAAATTTATATCCATATAGAAATTTCATATTCTATTTTTATTATGATCTTACTTATTTTTTGCATATAAGAACTGGGGTACAGGTCAGAGATATAGAGGGTGGTTGAGAGGATGCATCAGAGACAGAGTTGGGAGCTGAACAGGCAGATCTACTGAAATATACTGTTAAGAGGAACAGGAGGCAAAAATGGGAGAGGTCCGCTGCACCATGTGGTCAGCTTCTGCCCAGGGATTAAACTCAGGTGAGCCTTCACAGTGGTAGGGCTGACACTTTAACCCCTAGGCAGCCAGGGAGAACCCCAAAATTTCATATTCTAAATTCATAGCACTGTTCAAAGAATGTTCACCTTTCACAGATTTGAAACAGAGAACTTATCAATATGATATAGTTAGATTCTGTTTCATTCATTAAAAATTTTTTAAAGGGTAATTTTATGAGGTGATATATTATAAATCATTAACTTGACTGTAGGGATCTTTTTACAATGCATGCATACATCAAATCACCGCAATATACATTTTAAATATATCACAAGTTCATTTTTCAATTATACTTCAATAAAACTGGGGGGACGGTCATAAAACGAATTATGTTTTCATATATAACATCACTGAAATTGTTGCAATGTTTTAGAACAGAAATAAATCAATTTTAAAGGATTTCTGGTCAAGAAGTATTATGAAATGCTGAACATCTTATCTGAGATATTATGAAAGATTAACACTTGTGAAAAATTTTTTAAGAGCATAATATCTAAGAGGTCAGAATACTTTATTGGACAATATTAATATTTATCAACATACAATGAAAACATACAGTTAGGGGCTGTAGTTCTTCACTTTCACTGAGCTCATGATTTTAGAAGAACAAGCTGAGTGATGTAATAAAACCATCAAATTTAATACAGAAAGCTTTCTTGCCTTCATTTTAATTGAGACATGGTTTGCAAATGGTGCACTGTATGTTTAAGTTTTGCTTACTGCAAGAAGAATGTTCTAAAATAGTCAGGTTGATTTCTTGTGTAATCCGACTTAACTCACAGAAGCATATTTATTTTTCTTCATTCTTTTATTTTGTATACATTTAGTGTTTATCAAGAGCCTACTAGAAACCAGGTACTTACTCTAGATATTACAAATCAAGCAGTAAAAAGAAATATCCCCATACTGCCTCCATTTTACTATCCTGAAGACTACAGATCTGCTATACTTCTCTCTGAGCTGCTATGCTAATTCACACTAATCATACTCAGCCATTAAGTTAATCAATTTTTACCTCAACTTCTCTACTGCTAGTCCATAATTTCTCCATTTCCTTAATGCCTCAGTATACAGCCATCATATTCCTTTAAAAAGGCACGATTGCCATCTAGTGATGCCCCATGTAAAGGCATGCTATGCTGTAGAGAAAAAAGCCTTTCTGGCCAATTTATTCATTATAGGTTCTGCTATATGCCAGGAACTAGGTACTGAGCAGTGAACAAAAGAAGATATAAGGTCTTTGTCTTTATTTGTCTTCTATTTGAATGAAAAAAGAAATACCAAAAGTAAGTAGATAAAATTTTCAGATAGAAATGGATATAAATAAAGCAATGGGATAGGAAGTAACTGAGGAATGCCTTCAGAAACACATTATCAAACCCAAGAACCTTCTTGAATTAGCAATAAGTGTACCAGAAATCTAAATGTAAATGAGTAACAAGTTCAAAGTAACCTCTGAAAATGACACACATTATCAAATTAAAAACCAAAACATACCAAATTATTAATTATTGACTCACTTATAAAGTACCTACCTGGTTAATTTCCATTTAAAAACTATTTTATAGATCAGAATATTCTAAAAATGTGTTACCTTATAAGTAGTTATTTTTGGTTGAAAACAGCATCTACAGATTTCAGTAAATCTCTATAGGGGGATAATACTATTGATATATCATTTCAGAAGCTAAGTACTTACTGCATCTTCCACATCAATGCATAAATGTGTTCCAGATTCAGCCTTATTCTCAAGTTCGTTCATTTTTTGCATTTCATTGTACAGACTACTCAGAGTTTTGTATGAGTCACGACAGTTTTTGCATACTTCTGAGTAATTCCTTAACTGTATACTCCCCTAGGCAAAAATAATACACACAATAAACATCATCTCTTTATTGTAAACTTTGTCCTCCGAAAAGTACAGAAAATATTGTAGCATGTTAAAGTACTAAGTTGCAATGTTAGGTAATTGACTAAAATCATAGAAGTTCCAAAATTATAAGACCTATTCATATGTATAGATATCAATTATTAATACAATAAAACTGGAAATATTTATTACTCATTTGTATAAAGCAACATTTAGTTCTAAGTATCATTTGAAATACCTGAAGGTTATTTTCAAAGCAGGTCAAGGTCTGATTAAATAGACTGAGGAAGTACACTGTGTTATTTGATAGTTCTTCACTTGTGTTCACTAAACAATCTGTCAAAAAAACAAAAAAGTATATTAATATACTTCAAGTATACATGATCTGTATCTCTCAAGTTCTATCTCCTATTTAACATTATAGCAATTCTTTTTTTTTAAGATTTATTTTATTTATTTATGCATACAAGAACTCCAGTATAGGCCAGAGGTACAGAAGAGTGAGAGGATTCACCAGAGACAGTGGGGAGCAGAACAGGCCGCCTGACTGAAATATACTGCTGAGGGAAGCAGCAGGTAACACAGGAGGTTTGCTGTGCCATGTGGGTCACTCCCTGGCCAGGGATCAAACTGGTGCCATAGTGGTTGGCATTAGCTTGATAGCTCTGAGACTTAATCCTTGTGCCATCAGGGAGGCCCTATAGCAGTTCCTTTTTCAAACAAACATGAAATGTTCAATGTAAGAGAATTTTCCAAACACACGAAGCTTTAAAAAATTGTTGTCATAACCAATTTCATTAAAATAATCATATAATCTCATTTTATAAAAAAAAGAACCAGAAAAGTTAAACTGAGTTGATTGTGTAAGATGCTAATCACGAACAGCATTTTTCAAATGCTCCCTTTAATAGGGGTGCTCTTAGTGCTTTTTAATCCCACATTAATTTTATCTAAGTTCATATGCTTTTTAAAAACATTTTTGGTGTCAAATTTAGTGCTCTTCCATCTTCACTAGTGGGTAATTTATTCTATCAAACAGGATGACTATTTTTAATTTGTTCTTTTTAATTTACCATGAATTGGAAGACCAGAGAAACAAGTTTGGGAGAGTTTTGCCTAAAATAATAAAGGGGGTTTCAAGAGAAGTCTGGAAATAGAATTTCTTTATAAATAAACTTTTTAAAATCTTACATAAATGATGTTCCTCTGTAACTTGCTACTCTTGCTTAGGATTAGCTCAAGTTTATCCTTTTGTTTTCTATGCATGAAACAGTATACTTCACCTTTTCTCCCTTCTTGGGTGAACCTATTTTGTTTTCTGTTTCAGATAATTTATTAATTAGTGTAAACCCTAATACAGGGCTTCCTTGGTGGCCTAGGAGCTAAGTCTCAGAGCTACCATCACTAGGGCCTGAGTTTGATCCCAGCCTGGGAGCTAACCTGGGCAGCAGACCTCTCCTGTCTTATCCATTGCTCCCCTCAGCAGTCCATTTGAATAGATCTGCCTGTTCAGCTCCCCACTCTGTCTCTGGTGAATCTTCTCACATACACTTAACCCGCACCTCAGCCCTCCACCCCAGTTCTTCAACACAGAGATAAAACAAACAAAAAACACAATGCACCAATATGACTTTGTGCATTTAGAGGGAAACTGCTTCCTGGTTAACTGGAAAATTGTGTGATAGAAGGCTTCCGGAAGACTCATTCTCAGCTGCTTTCTAGTAAAACATTTTTTTATATTTATATAATACTTATTTTTACATCATTTTGTACTTTTTTTTTCATTTCAATTGTAATGTCCATGGGTTTCCCATCACCGAGTCACCCATGTGCCATCACCATGGTCCCGTGCACTTCCTTCCCTCCTCCCCATTTTTGATCCTATTCCCCACAAAATGTCTCTGGTATATGGCTGTTCATTATTCTTATTATTTTCTCGCCTGGTCCATTATAATTATACTCCTGCTATGAGCAAAAC